AATACCAGTAAATGAAATACCAAATGCTAAATGAAATGCTTCCTCTCTCCCCATTCTACCCCATTCTCCCCATTTGCACCAATAAGTAAAATCACTTTCTCTTTTGAGAAACTGGTCTTCACATGCTTGAAAGGCCATAAAGTGGAGGGGGATCTACTCGGTCCCAGAGGGTAAAATCAGGACTAGTGACTGGAAGGTTGCAAACAAACAAAGATAGACTAGATAATAAGAAAACATTGCCTAACAATGAGAGCTTTCTAGAAGTCATCACGAAGGCCAAATGACCATGTGTTGGGCATGGTATAGAAAAGATTGTTTTTCTAGATATATTGGACTAGATGGGTGGCCACCGAAATCCCTTTTGACCCCAGAATCCTGTGATTCTTTGAATCCTCGTTTCGTGTTGATTTTTCTAAGTCCTTAGAAGGATCACCGTGGCACCTACTTCTAGACTTCCAGTGTTCTTAGGCAAAACAGTTGACACCAATGTGGTCAGTCTTGGACCTGCCTGAGATAGTGCTGGATGCCTAGGTCAGGATTGTGATGTGAGGCTTACTGACCTTGTTTCTCAAAAACCCATATTCCTGGCGAAACCTGTCACTGCCCGGTTGTAACAGCACATTTGTTAAAGGGAAGATACACAGTTGTTATCATTGAGCCCTTGGTTGGATTTTATCACTTTATCAAAGCATACCTTATAATTCACAGGTAGATTTGAGACACTTACAGCAAGATCTCAGCAAAAAAAAAAAAAATCTTCTCTCCTATGGGTTTTCTCACTCATTTAGAGAGCTACAATCATAATTTGTTTCCAATTAAAAGAAAACCATTTCCAGAATAGAAAGAACTTTTAGGCAAGTAATGCAAGGACGCGAATGAAATTAGATGAGGGCAAAAAAATAAACTCGCCCTTGGGTTTTTGGGAACTACGGCAAATGTGGCCTGTCTGGTCTAGTCACATCTTTGGATTCTTGACCACAGCCATGTCACTCATCCCTCACCCCAGTACAAGTAACAGTTTATGGTAGGCAGGTCTTTCATTTAGAGTTTTATTTATTCGCCGTCTGGGTACGAGCAGCGAAGGTGGGCTGGCAAGTTTTCTATATTCATGGAAAAGTTCATGATTTAAAGTATGTGGTCCCCCAAAGCTAGACTTTGTCTCACCAGTACAAAATGGCACAAGTCAAAACAGACTACTGTCCATGTGGCAGGCCCTTACTCACAGCTGATGAATATTTATTAAACCTGTGTCTGTTAATCAGTGAACATTTATTAAGTGCTTATTTATTAAGAGAGGAGAAAATATTCTGGAGCAGTCAAGAAGGATGAGAATTGAGAAGAGGCCATTAGATTTGGCCATTATGAGATCATTGGTGACTTTGAAGAGAGTAATTTCAACTCACTAATGAAGTTTGGAACCAGATTGCAAAAAGTAAAGAAGAGAGTGAGAGGAGGGCCAATGGGGCAAGTGTAGATATTTTCTCAAGATGTTGGGCAGAGAAAAGCAAGTAAGATATAGGATATTAGCTAGTGGGGATGGTAGAATCTAGTGAGAGATTTTTGGCTTTGGTTTGTTTTTTTTAAAGATGACAGAGATATGAGCATTATTTGTAGGTAACAGGAAAGAAATTGCCTAGGTATTTAGGAAGAGATTAAACATAACCGGGGTGGGGGGGCAGATGCTTATGGGGGCAATCTGCTGAGGAAAACAGGAAGGGATGGAATCAAGTGTCCTTGCAAAAGAACTGGCCTTAGGGAAGAAGGCCACTCCTTTGTTAGACACTGCAGTAAAGGAGGAAATAGTGGGAGATAAATTCAGGGAGTTATAAAAGAAGAAAACTTTTTTCCCCTTGGAAATAAGGGAGCTTGTCCTCATCTGAGAGGGTGGGGATGGGGAGTACTGTGGGAGACTTGAGATGAAATCTAGAATAGTTCCTGCAGTGAATGGGATGTTTTTGTTGTTGTTGAGGGTTGAGTTGTTTCAGTCTTATCCAACTCTTTGTGACTTCATTTGGGGTTTTCTCAGCAAAGATACTGGAGTATTTTGCCATTTCCTTCTCCAATTCATTTTACAGATGAGGAAACTGAGGCAAACAGGGTTAAGTGACTTGCCCAGGGTCATACAGCTAGTAAGTGTCTGAGGCCAGATTTGAATTCATGAAGATGAGTCTTCCTGATGACTCCAGGTCCAGCACTCTATGCACTGTGCTGCCTAGCTGCCCCATAATCAATACTTTCTATGTTAAGCATTATCAGTTTTTGTTGTGGTTGACCACCTAGCTGATGTATTTAGAGTAAGTTGGAGATAACCTCAGAGGGAAGAAAAGAAGAAAGGTCTGTTGAAGGCCATCGGCAACTTTCCCAAGTCTAGTTTAGAGAATACTGACTGCATTGTCCGGTACCTTTGTGGACAATCTAGCTCACATTTATTGATCATTCAAATGGTAGAGATTTTAGAAAGGTGTATTTTTCTGGCACTCAAGGCCCACTTTGAGAACATATCTTTACTATAGTTCCTTGGAGGCAAAGCAATGGAGAGCCTCCAGGGACACAACCTCAGACATAAGTTTGGTTAGCTTAGTGTTGGGCCACAGCTCATTCTTGGCTCCCTCTTTGACCAGTCTGCATTCCCTCAGCTAGATCCCTGGTTCCTGCCTACTGCCCGTAGCCAGACCAGGGTCATGTCCCACTAGAGTTCTTTGTTCTCCCAGGAGTACACAAACAGTACACATCGTCCTAAGACCAAACCTGGACTTTAGGGAAGACACCTAAACTCACACACAGGGACACCCAGAACCGTGCTGCTGGTGGCTTCCTCACCCATAAGGGTGCTATTTACATGACCTTGAACTCTGAAATTTCTCTCCTTAATCATAACCTTCTGTCATTACCTTTTTGTCCTCTGCTCCACTCCACTAAGCCTGTTTTTCGTCCTTGTTATAACTTGTACCGCGCTTCTCTTGACCACAGTGGGGCTGCCATTTTGCTCCTTTCACAGTCTTGACCCCGTGTTTCACCAGTTCAGCTCTATGCTGTCCTCCACCTTTGCCTTTCTTGCCCTTCCATCTATAACTGCTCATGCCATGCCAAACTCCAGCCCTGGATTACCCCTACCATCTACCTTTTCCACATGCACACTAATGAACACTCATCACTTTACTGTGTAAGTTGTAGCCACTGAAATTTGTTAGCTAATATTACCTGGGCCCTCACAGCTGCAAGGCAGTTTATTTTTCCCTGATTGACTTTATGACACTTCACGGAATGGCCGTCTTAAAAACCTTTTCTCTCTTCAAACTCCCTATACCATTTCTTCTCCATTCCCCCTTCCCTAAGGAATTTGCTTCCTACCTTACTGAGAAAATAGAACGCATCTGCAGTGAGTTCTCTGTTGTCCCCTACTACATGCTTTGGATGTCTACTACATCTTGAGCCTGGAGTTGGGAAGACTCATCTTCCTGAGTTCAAATCTAGCCTCTTACTAGCTGTGTGACCCTGGGTAAGTCACTTCACCCTGTTTGTCTCAGTTTCCTCATCTGTCAAATGAGCTGGAGAAGGAAATGGCAAACCACATGGGTATCTTTGCCAAGAAAACCCCAAATGGAGTCACAGAAAGTCAGACAATACTGAAAATGACTGAACAACAAATAGATCAAACCCTCTGCTTGATGCTACTCTGTCCCATCCAGTCACCTACCTCCTCAGTGGCATATTCTCATTCTCTCTCTCTCCTGCCCCTCCCCCCTCCCTTCCTTCTCTCTCCTTCCCTTCTCTTTTCTTCCATCCTCCTTGTTTTTTTTTTGTAATCTACTGCTTCCTCTCCTACTGCCAATAAAGTTTCCCAGGTCACCCCACCCTTTAAAAAACCTTGACCCTGTTATCTCATCAAGGTATCATACTGAAATTATCTACACTTGTTACCACTGTTTCCTCATCATCAGATCATTTCTCAACCCCTTTCAGTTGACTCCACTACTCTTCTGACCTTTTGTCTCCAAGGTTACCAGTAATCTCTTAACTGCTTAGTTGGATGACATCTTCTCAGTCTTTATCCTATCTGATATCTCTGAAGCTTTTGACACTGTTGACCAGCCCCTCGTCCTAGGCCAGGGGTGAGGAACCTGAAGCCTTGAAGCCACGTGTGGCCCTCTAGGTCCTCAAGTGTGGCCCTTTGACTGAATCCAAACTTCACAGAACAAATCCCTTTAATGAAAGGATTTATTCTGTAAAACTTGGACTTGGTCAAAAGGCTGCACCCAAGGACCTAAAAGGCCACATGGGGCCTTGAGGCTGCAGGTTCTCCACCCCTGTGACCAGCCACTCTCTCCTCCATTGGCTTATGTGACACTGCTCTTTTCCTATTCTGTTCTCCGTATCTGTACAGATGGAAATTTCGAATGAACTAGTGTCTTTGAATTTCCCAATTTAAAATGTCTTTTTCCAGATATCAGATGCTACGACACAATAGCAAAAGGTTCAGATATCCATTTTTTTCAAAATTATCTTCAGTTTTCTTCAAAATTATTATCTCTGGCCACTTTACTTGAATAAACATTTATTAAGTCTTGGAGAAGAAAATGGCAAACCACTCTAGTGTCTTTCTCAAGAAAACCCCAAATGAAGTCACAAAGAATCAGACATGACTGAAAAATGACTGGACAACAAAGCTCCTACCATGTGTTGGGCACTGTGCTAAGCACAACCTTTATACTTAAATAGACGTTTCATTGTTAAAGGGCCCCTCATGTCTAAGCCATCCATATGGAATCAATTCAGGAAAGACATTTGAAATGCCAATGATGTATTTCCAAAGCCATAAGTTCTGCCCCTCACCTCCCTCAGTCTCAGTTTCTGCATCTGTAAAATGGTGAGGTTGGCCCAAGTGTCCTCTGAGGCCCCTTGCAACTCCAGACCTATGATCTTCTAAAGGGAAGGAGGTTCTGTTGCATTCTTTCAGAAAGGCAGTAACGTCACTTTTCCTTGTGATTTTTGCTTTTTAGGTCTCAAAATCCTTGGCTTCTGGGAAGAGGTTGGCACAGTCATCTCTGAATCTGAACTAAAAACTGGAATCCCCTATTCCTCTGCCATCCCTGGTCTGATCCAGTATTTGCAGAGCCTCACCAGACTGGTGATAGCCGCCATGTTTGCCACAGCAGCTGACCCCAGTGAGAAGACGAAGGACGGTCCCATCTCTCTCATTCAGCTGTTACGGTCTGACTTCCCTGAAGTACGCCTGCTGACACTGGAAGCCTTGTTGCATTTGGTGACACCAGCAGTCCCAGAGCAAAAGACAGGAAAAGAGAGAGGCCCCCTGCCCTCCCTCCCTGATGTGGGGGAGACGCTCTTGAAGATGGCCGTGGAAGAAAAGCACCAAGAGTGCTTTGCCAAGGTTCCGTCTTTGTTTGGTTACTGTCCCCCACATTCCTATCCTTCCAGTTCCTGTAGAGTCCACTAGGATGTTGTTGCTTTAAAAGTAGGATGTAACTCAGGGGCTCCTTATAGGCCAAGGAATGGAGTACATTGGATTTAGTGTTCGTAGGGCAAGGACAACATCGCTTGAACTCTTTGTATGGTGCCCAGGGTGGCTCTGTGATCCCAGAAGCATTTACTAAAGCTGTCCACTGATAGTGATGAGGGGACAGCAATGAAGTACAGAGGAAACCCCACTCTGAATTAGATCTAGTATATGTGAAAGATTGACCTGTCTGGCCTGGTATGAGGGAAATTGCCCTAACAACCTGGAGATCTGGGTTCTAATCCTAGTTCAGCATAACTTTAGGTCAATCATTGCCTTTCCCCATAACTCAGTTTCCAATCTATGATTCTAGGATAATATTCTCCACCTTTCAGGAGGGTAGTAATCTTAAAATGAGACATAAGTAGCATATCAGTGCAAAATATTATTATATGAGAACTGACAGACTTCTATTCACTCCTCCCCATGCTAAGTAATTGTTTCTTCTTTCATGAATTTTGCTTCTAATTTATATTTATAGGTTTTGAAAATTCTCCATTGCTTGGATATCAGCAGGTGGCTTCCTCTGACTGAAAGTTGTATCCACCAGACCCCAAAGGAATTCTTGAGCTGGACAATGAGTGTTGCAGATGCTTCCAGTAAAAGGTCTGGTCCTCTGACTGCTATTGCCTGCCATCTCCCTCTCTCCCTTTTCCTCTCCCTCTTCTTCCCCCTCTCTCTCTCCCTCTCTTCACCTCAGTGGCTTTCCTTCTCCTTTCTCCCCCTCTCTCTTTCTCTATCTCTATCTGTCCCTGCCCCACTCTCATTTTATTGACACTTTTCATTTCTGTTTCTTACACCAACTTGAGACAGCTAAATGGTGTAATTGAGAGCACGTTGGGCCTGGGAGTCAGGAAGACCTGAGTGCCACTTCAGACATTTACTAGCTGGATGACCCTAAACAAGTCGCTTAACCTCTGTCTGCCTTAGTTTCCTCATCTGTAAAATGAGGATAAAAATAGCACCTGCCTCCCACCAGTTGTTGTGAGGATAAAGTAAGATGATATATGTAAAGCAGTTTATTAGCCTTAAAGTACTATGTACATGCTAGCTATTATTATTAAGTAAAAGGATTATTTTATTTGCTGACTGTTAATAGCATAAGAGGCAGTGTGGTGTAGTGAATAGAGAGCCAACCTTGGAGTCAGTGAATAGAGTTAACCCTGGATTTAAGTTTTGCCTTTTGACACATACTGGCTGTGTGACCTTGGGCAAGTCACTTAACCCTCAATGCTCCAGGCATCTCTCCAAGGTTATAAATTTCAGTCAGTAGGTCAACTCACGTTAAGCTCCTGCTATGTGCCGGGCAGAACAGTTGCCAGTCTGCATTTGGAGAAGTTCCTTCATTGGGAGTTCCCTACAGCAGTGAAATCACTGGTCAAGACAAAAAAAAGGTTGAAGTAGACATCTAAGTTCATGAAGCACCTGACTCACTTTACGTTGTATTCTCTACCATTTTTTCCCCCAGAATTAAAATTCAGAGTGAAGCTCTGAGGCTTGCCTCCAGACTGGTCACCCACCACGTGCAGATGTGTGCAGAGGTAAGACTGGTCCACTTCCTGCTTGGGGGGGGTCACTTTGGTCCCCTTTCAGTAAAGAAGAGCTGTCCCCAAGGGAAAGACGTGCCACAGGGTAGGGAACGTGCAGCCTCGAGGCCGCGCCTTCTAGGTCCTCAAGGGCAGCCTTCTGGCCGAGTCCAAGTTTTACAGAACAAATCCTTTTATTAAGGGGATAAGGAGAATTGTTCTGTGAAGTTTGGATTCAGTCAAATGGCCGCACTAGAGGGCCACATATGGCCTTGAGGCCGCAGGTTCCCCACCCATGGAATGGGGATAGTTTCTCTATGAATTTTTTGAGCATAACCAAAGTTATCCATGTCTGTGTCTCCATTCTGGGGGCATGTGCTTTCAGTTCATGAGGCCTGCCCACCCACCTGCCAGCATCCTTCACTAAAATTCATCTCTCACTCTCTCTCCTGGGAAGCCAGACCTGGGAGTATTGTGGGATGCAGCTTAGTGAGTTTAGGGCATTGACCAAAGCAAGAAAATCTGATGCTCTAGATCAGAGATTCCCAAAGTGGGAGATACCGCCCCTTGGGGGGCACTGAAACAATGAGGGGGCAGTAGTAGCCTCAGGTACAATTGGGGGGCATTGAGTAAAAACAAGGGGGTTGGTGGAAGCATAAGGAAAGAAGAGAAGATAAGAAAACTTTGAGAAACCATTTGTACATGTTTCATCTGTTGTGTAACAGTTAAAGTCATAGTGATTACATTATTTTCCCAAAAACACACAAAATGCAAGTTATAACCATTCAGTTGTCAAGTCCACCAACAGGTCTTAACAAGCAAATGTTTGCATTATCAAGTCCAGCATGCATCTGCAGGAATATGTACATGGAATGACTTGTTTACAGTATGATACTATATGGTTACATGATGCAATGTTGTGTCATCAAAATTTCAATGCAGGAAAAAACCACAAATTTACAATAAATTATTAAATTTAAGATATGTCATTTTAAAAAAATATATATTTTTAAACGACACATATTTTCCAAAAAACCTTAAAGGGTTAAAAATTTCCGGGGGGAATTGAGTAATTTTTTTTTAAAGGGGGTGGTAAACCAAAGAACTTTGGGAACCTTTGCTCTAGTTCAAGTATTTTACCACACCCCACCCCCTTCCTGTGGGTCTGAGCACGGGCCAGGCTGAGTCTTGCATACTTCAGAGACTGACCATCCACTGGGGTACCAACATGATTTACTCATGCTGAGCAACTTCCTGTGCTGATACCTTTAAACAAAAGAGAGATTTGGGGTGGGTGGGGAGGAGCAACTTAGAAATATTATTACAAGTGAATGTCAACCAATGAGATGATGCCATAGTCATTACCAGCCGACTGACTGATTAACCTCATCTGCCCTGGTGATGACAGGATGTTATTCACTTTAAGACCTCAATTCTTCTGTGCTTGAGTTAAATCACTCATATAAAAAAAGGAGCTGTTTTCACTTGGTTTATCTTGAAATCAGATACTATATTTCATATATTTTTATGCCATAGGCACTACTATTGCTGAGTGAAGTTTTTTGTCTTTGGTCAGGACCTTTGATTTCACTGGTATCGAGAACACCTTTGCTAATGCAAATAGGCAGCTCACCTATACTTTATATTCTTAAAGAGTGGTTGATTTGCCCAAGGTCACACGGCTAGTATGTAGAACCTACATCTTTTTGTAAAATATATTTTCATTTATTTCCTTAAACTATTTCCCAATTATATGTAAAAGAATTTGAACGTTCATGTTTTCAAGTTTTGTGTTCCAAATTTTCTCCCTCTTCCTGCCCCTCCCCCGCCCCTTAGGAAGACCAGCAATATCGTATTGATTACATGTGTGAATTGATGCAAAGTATATTTCCATATTGCCCATGCTGTATTAAAAAGGAACAAGAAAAATAAAGTTTAAAAAAGTCTGCTTCAGTCTGTACTCAGAGTTCATAAGTTCTGTCTCTGGAGGTGGACACCATTTTTCATCATGGATCTTTTAGAATTGTTGTGGATCCTTGTCTTGATAAGAGTGGCTCAGTCTTTCACAGCTGATCTTCCTTACAATATTGCCATTCCTGTGTACAGTGATCTCCTGGTTCTGCTCACATCCCTTTGCAACAGTCATGTAAGTCTTTCCAGGGTTTCCTGAAAGCATCCTGCTTATCATTTCTTATAGCACAATAGTATTCCATGACAATGGTATACCACCACTTGTTCAGCTATTTCCCAGGTGATGGACATCCCCTCCATTTTTTCAGTCCTTTGCTACCGCAAAAAGAGCTACTATGAATATTTTTATACAAATAGATCCTTTTCCTTTTAGACCTACATCTTTCTGACTTCGAGGCTACAGTTTAACTCTAGGATTACACAGGGAGTTGGCAAATGGCTTATTATGTATTTGTATTTTAGCTTTTTAAAAAGACTCAAGGTAAAGAAAAAAGGTTAAAAAGAAAAGACTCAAGGTTAAAAAAAACCAACATGTTAAAAATTGTGTTTATGTGCAATTGGGAAAAAATAAAATATTATTAAAATTTTTTTTAAAAGACTCAAGGTAGATTTTTTTTTTCCAGTTTGTGGGGTGAAAAAATAAAAGTAATTAGTAGTTAGCTTAATTCAGCAAAATCCCCTCTTAAGGTTACAACAAAAACGGACCTTTGTTTATACATTCCTAACTTCACAGCATGGAAGATAGTGTGTTACTATAATAATCAGTGTATCTTCCTACAAGACCAAAACAGATGCTCTGTGAGTATAATGGAGCTGGGTTCCTTACTGAAGGATTGACAACTCCTGAATGCTCCTCCTGCACCTGTCCCAGGATGGGTTTGTTTATTTCTGTCTGGCGTCTAGACTGGAGGTCACTCTGTCCACTGATAGAGCAGATCTAGCAGGCCCAGCCCTGAGCCATAGCCCATCCCTTGCTGCCAATCCGTTTTGTGCTTTCAGGGTTTGCCCTCGATGGAAAGGGAACTGAAGCAGTGGGTTCAGTTAGTGGCCTTTTGCTGTGGAGGCGAACTCCAGACAGAGGCCAGACTGGTAGCAGCTGAAGTCCTCATCAGCATTACACCATTTTTCCTGACCAACCAACATCTGATTCTTGGTGAGTACTTTGACAGGTACCTCGTTGTGTCAAGTACCATGTTCTTAACAAACCATCTAAAAGCACGTGATTTAAAAGTGACTGAAAAGGAAAGCAACTGAGGGGAAAAAAGACACCTCAACTATATATGAAATAAATACCCTTGGTCATAATTACTTGAAAATCAGAAAAACATCTGCTGTTTCTGGTGAGATCATAAGATCATAGATTTAAGAGCTGAAAGGGATTTTAGAGGCATTCTAGTTCAACCCCCTCATTTTGCAGATGAGGAAACTGAGGCCCAGTGAGGTTAGTTGATGTGCCTGTGGTCACAGTGGTAGCAAGTGGCAGGGCTGAAATTTGAATGGAGGTCTTCTCATTATAAATCCAGTGTCCTTTATCCTTCACCTCATTGCCTCCCAAGCCTAATTTTACTTTGTGATGGATTAGCACATTCACACTCAGTGGTAGGCACGATGTTAGGTTCTAGAAGACATACTTCTGGCAGAGCTTCCACAAGGGATACATTTGGATCAGCAGCCTATTTCTCTGATAGAAATATCCCCAAGAAGGACTATCTTGTGTACACATTCTTCCCTGGGTGTTCTTGGGAGCACCCTAGAATTCTACTCTCTCCTCCCAGTCAGTGTTAAAAATCTTGAATGGGCAAAGTGGAGGTCATGATTTTAGAGAAATGGTGTCAGACTGAGCACAAAACTGCCCAATGCTGGGAATCAGATCAAAATGTAAATGGGAAATGGTCAGCAAAGTAAATAAAAATACAATACAATATAAATAATGTTAATTTGTAGTTTGCTAAGTCATTATGCAGCCTGAAAAGATGCCCTTCTATTTGAGTTCCACACCACTGCTTTAGAGACCTGATGATGAGGAAGCAGGCTTGCTTTCTCTCCAAAGAGAAGCGGGAACCACATATAAGTATGGAATGAAGCATAGATCTACCACGGCCAGCATGCTGACTTGTTTTGCTTGACTGTACTTAGGTGGAAGATAGTCATTGGGATGTAACAGAGATGTTAAAAAAGAAAAGAACAACAGTAAAGCATCTAAAAAGGAAAAAGAAAAATCAACAAGATAGAACTTCCTGTCTGGGAGTTAATAAGAAGATTGTCATCTAAATGTCTGCCCTTCCCTTGTTTCACCTTCTGCCTTACCCTCATCTGGAGATTAAGAGATGAGGAATCCATTTATTCATTCAGATCAAACCTCTATCAAATACAAGCCACTTTATACAAGCCACTATTCCAAGGATACAAAGATGGACTAAGATATAGTCCCTGCCACGTGGAGCTCATAATTGAGTAGGGGGACGATTTAGGGGTACAAACAACTACAAGGAAAAATAAAATGTGAGAAATCTATAGTCTCTGCAGTATTCTGGGGAACTTCTGGAGGATTTCACAATCTATAAGGAATTTTTTTTCCTTTAGACTGATTATCCTATGTAGCCTAACAATCCACCTAGGAAAAACTAAGTAGATGAAGAATACAAAGTGTCCAGACTATAGTATACAATAGTATGGACAGCCCATAGAGCCAGTCCATCATGCATAAATCTTAGGCAGATGCTGTAGATATGTAATTAATTGGACCCAGAATTGTATATGAGTTTATCTGGGAAATTGAATAGTCCTTCTAATGTCACTCCTGTTCCTTCCAAGCATCTTGAAACAAAAGCCCACCTTTTTTAACACCAGTGTTCTCCTGGTGATGTTGTATGTCTGTGAATCATGAAGTATTCTATACTCCAAAGAATTAAGGTGGCAAAGGGTAGCGGAAAGGCACTTTGTATGTGTACATAGCCCAGAATTTATTACCAATAAATAATCCCTTACCAGAAGCCACATGAATGAATGAATTGAAAAATATTAAGTGTTTACTGTGTGTAAAATATTGAGCTAATTAGGCACCAGTGATACAAATACAGAAGTAAAACTGCTCCTGCCCTTAAAGAGCTTACATCCTAATAGAGTGAGATAACACATATAGGGGAGTAGTGACCAGGGAAAGGTGTTTTGATCCTAAAAGATAGCCTGTGTGCTTCCTTGGTATCTATATGATGGCCACAGATCCAGAGAAACCTTTCCAGAATGTTGAATGCCTTCCCTGTGAAGGAGGTATAGGACGTGGTCAAGATAAGGGTGAGAAGGTGTGGATGGGTTGTGACCTCCGTCATTGGATGGAGTACCTACTTGCATGAAACTAGAGAGCTAGTGCTTAGGAGAGAGGTATAAGACATTCACTAGAAAAACATCACATTCGTTGATGTACAGAAAACTGAGGCCGATAAATGCTAATTAGTTAGCAAAACATCAGTGGAGATGGGAAGAAAGCCCAGGACTCCAAATCACTCTTTCCCCTGCTATGTTCCCCCTCTGATTGCTGCATGATTCTTTTCATGCTAATCAACCAAATTGCCCAACAGTTAACTGTTGAGTACATATTATGTATCTCTTTTGGATGGAAGATAAAATATGACACTGTCAGCCCTAGTCTTATGGATCGTCATGGTTCCTTCACCTTATTTCAGTCTTACCTTTGTGGAAATGATACTTCTAGGATTTTATAGAATAAAGCAATCTTTGGAATTGCTTCCCCAAAATGCCCTCATTTGTGAGCTCTTCCTTTTTGGTAGATTGTGAGTTATCTGGGATACATGTGACCCTGCTTCCAGCCTTTCCAGCCTGGATAGTCATCATGACAGGGCAACAGGGGGTCTCCAATCAGTCAGTAAACTAGTCTCTGTCTTCTAGAAGTCTCTCCTCCCCAGCTGGCATTCCTAGATCCACCCCCTGAGGTCCCTGTCATGTTTCTTGGCCATGTCTCTTTGTTTGATACACAGATAAAGACAAGTCAGAAAAAGCACCTGGTTATGGTTTTGTTACAATAACAACTCTAAAACCTCATCTTCTTCTTGTGTTCTTAGGTCTTCCAGATACCCTTACACTCTGGAAGTGCGTCTTCACCCTCCTGCAGAGTGAGGAACAAACAGTCAGAGACAGAGCAGCTGAAGTAGTCCAGGCTGCCCTGTCCCAAGAAAACACCGGCCGGACAACAGGTGTGGCCCTCTCATCCTTTGGGTTTGGCTTCTTCCTTTTTTTTTTTGAGGTTGAAACCTAATCAAGAAGATGTTGACTGATTTTCTTGACAGTTTCTCTTCTAGCTAGTGTTAACCCTTGGTTATCTGAATAATTGAATTTTAGAGAGAATTTCAGAATGTCAGCTTTGCCATTTTATTTCAGTCTCTCCTATGCCTTATGTGTGGCAGATCAGCAGAAGCTTCTTGTTTGAGCCCTAATCCCCATCTCATGGCTTGGAACCCTAATGAACAAAATGGTAGTTTAAAAAAAAAAAAAACAAATGGAGTAAGAGAGAATAGGAAAGAAAGTAGTGAGCCCTGAATGATCCATAAATAGGTGACTAGCTCCTGGATAATTGAGAGTTGGTGCTTCTTAGTTTCCTCATCTATAAAATGAATATAGTAATAGTACCTACCTCATAGGGTTGTTGTGAGGATAAAATGAGATAATATTCTAAAGCATTTTGCAAATGCTATGTAAATGCTAGATGTCATCTTCATTGTGATCATCATTATTCTTACCTGACTGTAGACCCTGTGGAAGAAATGGGGAGATGGCTTATTTTTAAGTCTCTGTCCCAGGGATGCTGGGACTCTGCCATGTCCTTGACCCTTGCCTGTGTCACACAGAGAGGAGGAGATCTCTCTATTGGGTTGCTCTGGGTTGTACCACAGAGATACTAGTGCCCCCTATGAATGGGCAGAGGAGCCATCCCCTCCTCTGGGGGGATGGCAGAGACCAACCTGGTCGCTAACTCAGAAACTGAACCAGGAGCCTAGGAAAGTGGTTGTCAGGTAAGGTTAACTGGTTCAGTTTGGCTGCTTCTCGGGGCTGAGTGGCAAAGAAGTCCCTAACTTCATTACCTAGAACTACAGGGAGTAGTAACCTTTGGGGGGTAAGGCAGAGGACCTCTGCCCCCAGGTTGGACCAGAAAGTTCACCAGATGTACACACTTGATTGGGAGGGAGAATAGGTGTGAATGCTGTGTATTGTAATGACAACATAACACCTTATTCACATGCTTACTGCCTGAACTGTCTTAAACAAGAAATAAGATCTGGGCATTGGAGAGGCCCAGCTAGGGCATTGCTCCATCTGAAGTTAGTGCCATCATCCCATCAGATGATGTGGTAAACCCTGATTTCCTTGCAAACCCTCACTTTTCTAGACTAGAGTCCTCAACCATGATTCTCTTCCCTCTTTAACTGAAAGGAGGAGGAGGGTGGTGATGATGACAGCACAGCCTTTGTTTAAGACTTGAATGCTTACAAAGCATTTTCATGTTCCAACACTTAATCCTTCCAGAAGCTCTATGAGGCAGGTAGAACAGATGTTGTTATCCTCTTTACACAAGAGGAAATTGAAGCTTACAAAGGTTACATAATGTACTGGAGCTCACACAATTACTGAATGGTGGAGCCAGGATTAGAACCTGGGATGCCTGGGTCCTCCTTTAACATTTCTTCTGTTGTTCCATCATATCTCTGAAGAATGCCACCCCTCAGGGAAAGGAAAGCTAGAACCTACCCTTACCTGGAGACAGGCAATTAAAACTGTGTAAGATTTAGCAGATCCAAGGAAGGTACCCCGCCTGAAAATATTTCTCACATTAGATTGTCATGCTGTCTAGAATTTTATCAATAGAGGTTCATTCCTTTGGCTTGACCATTATCCTCCTTTAAAATGCAAGTACTCCTGGAAAGAGACAATTTTGATTGAATACTCAATGTATGATTGTATTATGGATGGATTATATTATACTTCCTATGCTTCTCCTGAGTCCCTTGCTCCAGTGACTGGGCAAGTCACTTCAGAGAAATGTAGGTAGGGTTCTCTCTTCCTGGACTTAGCATACTTGTCCACTTCTTCCCCTCGGTGTTTGTGCCCAGGTTGTTAGCATCTTCTCTGGACTTTTATCACTTCCAGGAGTTCATGGCAGCCTGACCTATCAATAGTTTCATTATCATCTCTTTGCTGGCATTGTAAGGGATAGAAATTGGGTGACTTGGATTGGAAGAATTCAGGGGTGGATGTTCACCTTGAAGAGAAAAGGGAATGTAACTTAGCACCGCCTGTCACACTAGCACCAGGCTGGGGCCCATCCCTGCCTCTTTCTTGACACTGTATTGGGGATTTAGTGTGAATTTGGGCCTTTGGTTTCTGTAAGAAAATAGACTAAGGACTAAGTGAGAGCCTTTCTCAGTTGAGTAAATGAGGCAAGATAGTGACCCCTGATGGGCCCCTAATCCCTGATAGGGCTATTTTTATGCATTTGATTTATTTGGAACAGGCTTTAGGTCAGATGCACATACACAGTGACAAAACCCAACAGCTGTAGCTTCCCTGAATAGAGTAGGAACTGGAGACTGGCCCAGTAGCTAGGTCTTGAAATGGCACTCTCCCTGTTGGTCAGTTGCCTGGGGCTCAGCACACGCAGAGTTCCCCACATCTCCAGTTTTCATCTTGACTGTCAGCTGCTGAGTGCTCTTGGATACCAAGTCCTGGTAATGGGATTTGAAAGACCCAAAGGGACTGATCCTAAGGCCTGGTCTACATCTGATAAAGACTCAGAGTGATAGCCAACTTAAGTTCCAGGTACCAGAATATTTACATGATCACAAAATTTAGAGCTAGAAAGGACCATAGGAATCATCTAGTTCAACTCCCTAATTTACGAATAGGGAATTTAGGCCCAGAGGGATGAAGTAATTTGTCCCCAAGCTCATACAGCTAGTAAGTCTCAGAGTTAGAGTCTGAATTCACGTGTTCTGAGCCTAAATCCAGCATTCTCTCTACTACATTTTGCCATGGCTAAAAAACACCACTGTCCTATGAGACTCAAAGAACAGTTTCTTCCCACCCTCCTCCCAGCTATTAGCCCTTCCTGCTTCTGTAACACCACCATCGAGTGTGGTGTAGAAATCCTTCAGACCACTACCGCTCCTAGAAACCAAACTGTCTGAAGCTGAACAAATTCCATTCTCCTTCTGTTTCCCCCAAATAGCTCTGGGCCAAGTAGCTAAGATTTCACCTTTCAGTCAGGCGGAGGCTGCAACAGTCTGTGATTGTTTTTTCATCTGTCAAGGCATAAAGTAGAGAATATTGTGCCCATACTGGGAGCAGAAAAGAGGACGCCCTAAGGAGTACCAGTGCTATGGTCACTGCAGAGGCAGAATGGTTTCTCTTCTTGCCTTAATTTAATTATATGATAATCCCGAAATAGGGATCTCAGTTCTAAAATCTGTCCCCTCTTCCTCTGAGGCATGAAAGTAGAGACCAGTCTCAACATTCCCTGATACTGGCTTGCGGATGGGGTGGGCATTTCTAGGAGGGGACGCAGTGCTACAGACCCAGGAAAAGGACTTAGAGTTCATAAAAGTCTTTGTAATGGAGGCTGGGCATAGATGCCTTTCTTCCCCCTGGCTTGGAGAAACTAAGATGAGAAGGGAAAACTCAACATCATTTGCTACTTTCACTTTTCTTATATAGGAAGAAACCCCATAGTAGGCCACAGAGTATGTTTTCTTGATGTCTCTGGGCTCTTAAAACTAGGGACCTGAGTATTAATCCAGTCATAGGGCCATTCATGTATAGATTCAGAGCAGGAAGGGAACTTTGAAGTAGGTCACTTAGACTAACCCCTTCATTTTACAGGGGAGAAAACAGAGGCCCATAGAAATTAAGTGACTTTCCCAAGGTCCCTCAAATAGTAAATAACAAAGCCAGGATTCAATTCCAGATCATCTTACTCCAAAGTAATCCCCGGTCCATTACTCCATGCTGTTTATCTGTAAGTGGACCAGACAAGAGTAAAACTTGACTCTAAACGAGCCCCACAGTGCTTCATGCCTGTTACTAGAATGAAAGAGATGAACAGATGATTCTGGAAGAGTTAGGGTACCTCTAGCCTGTGAAAGGGGGCTATAGTTGGGGTCACAGTTCATGACCAAATGGTTGGTGCAGCTTTGGCCTTTGTTGTCTTGGGATTTTTATTTTATATTTCTGCTAATCTCTTCTATATCTCTCCCAAATGGTATTTCCCCATCCCCTTGAGCCTTAAAACCTGGAAAAATCTTAGCTTGTGACTATCTGAGAATGTTTTTTACCTTGGGAGTGAATAGTCATCAATGGAAGGTGTCCCTCTGATAAGAGGACTCACACCAACCACATTGAGAAGAGGGAATGAGGGATTCACAGAATAACACTTTTGGCCCTTAAGGTACCACTAATTGTGTGACTTTGGGGAGTTCCTTTACTTCTCTTGTCCTCAGTTTCTTCATCTGCAACATGAGTGAGTTGGACTAATCAGGAATTCTTGACCTTTTTTTTATGTCATGGATCTCTTGGGCAGTCTGGTGATGCCTTTGGAGACCCTCTCAGAATAATGTTTTTAAACACATAGAATTGCAAAGGAAACCAATTGAAATAGTTGTCAACTTAAAAAAAAAGTTCATGGATCCCAGGTTAAGAACCTTTAGATCAGATGATAACTAAGCTTTCAGCTCCTAAATTAGGGAGTTCTAGAGCCAGGCTATGATCCAGAAAGAGAAGGGAGGGGTCATGGAAGATAACAAACTTTTAATAAAATGCCTTTGGAGTTGGAAAGGGCAAAAGAAGAGGTAGAGGAAAAGAAAAGAATAAAAAATTCGAACAGTGAGGAAGTTATCTGTTAGAGATTCATCATAACATGGTGGTAACCCCACATTCTGGAAGGTCATGGCATCCAAGCAGAAACTCTGACAGGCCCTGCCAGACCAGAACTCAATATAAATCAATACATTTATTAAGCACCCACTACATGCAAGGCATGTCTCCTAAGACATAGACACCAACAAAACTGTCCTCCCCTCATGGAGCTTCCAGTCTACTGGCAGGTACATCAAGTACTCAATATTCAATCACGTATTTAATGAGTTTTACTCTGTGCCATTTGTATAGTGGACACTGAGGAGACAAACACACAAATGAAAATCTCTGC